GCACATTTTCGACATTATTCCTACTGTGTGTGCAATCGTCCTTGTGGTTAATTTTAATTGTGTTTTGAGTAAATTAAATGCAGCATTGTAGCAGATGCCAAAAATTCCATTCTGTATTATAAGTACTGTTTTCGGAATAGAACAAATTATTATTATTATTGTCATTCTGTTGGGAGTGTGTTATTATTTCATACTTCATAAGCTCAATACAAAATTTGAAACCTAGTACTATGTGGTCGTTCAGTTGTCTAGTTCATAGTAGTGGAGTGGAGTGAGTAGACTTTTAACTTAAAATCCCACTGATGAGTACGTGTCAAATGCATAAGAAACTAAACCAAAGGTTCTCTTTCATCTCCATGTTAATTTTATCATTTTCCCATTCCTTCGCCGCGTTCCGAGTGGAACATAAGTCTGAGTTCTTGAGTTTCAGTGGCGGCGTTGTTTGTACATTACGAGGTGGCCTGGCCACATGTACAGTCTTCCCTCTTTATCGGGCTTACGACTACTAGCTGGGCTAGTTTATAAGGAGTGGGTCGACAGGGAACTGACCTCTGACTAAGTGTGGTTGGTGAGAAGTGGTTCAAGCTCTAAACTACTGACTCACTATGTTAGGCAGCATAATTTGTATTTCGTCTTTGCTTTCCACCATATTACATCTTAATTTCTGCATTTCAACCTGTGTCTACCTTTGCTAGTGTGATAGACACCTAAGGCAATTAATATGTGCAAGGATTCTGAGTCAAATTAATCGGGTTTGTGTTAAGATTTAAATCAAGTATCCTTCAGACTGCTAAACTAAAAGTTGCGGACTTTTAAATCGTCTTTGATACGCTTCCTGTTACTCTAGTTTGTTAGGATTAGCCTAGTAATTGAGACCTAAATGATAAACATATGATAAGATTATAAATTATTTAAATTAATCCCAGCGTATTAAGAAAATCAAAACAAGATTTTTCTGAACGTTTCGCCGTGTAAGCCACAGCTTCTTCTGCTTGTTTTTATTTTCTTAACACGCTGGGATTAATTTAAATAATTTATAATGAATCAATCTGACTCGGCGCTCAAATTAATCCAGGAGATATGATAAGAAATGCTATATATATATATATAGTTCATATTTTAGATTGATGAAGGCTGAATTGTCTTCAACGTAGATATCTTTACCAATCAATATAATTTAGATAGAAATTTCAGCTTAAACGCTCTATAACAAGTTGATGAAGATTGGATTTCAATCCAATGTCATTGGATAGTAATGTGGTTGACTTCTAATTAAGTTATTAGGCCTGTTTGTTAAAATTTGAAGCTTGAATATGATCATCTTTCCAGTGATCTTTCATTTCCAACGGTTACCCGAATGTATTGTATATTTGTAAAAAAAATATGCCTTTTTGTTTATTATTTTGGTTGTTAGGTCATTGTTATTGTGTACATTGTACTTTTATTGTTGATGTCACTGTCTAGACTTGTCTCGACAATTTCAACATTTCAGTGAACAAGTGTTTGTATGCATTTGTTAGTTGTGCATGTATATATTAGATCTTATCACAAACCAACATCATTTGGTTGGAATTAAATTGATCTAAATCCACACAAATCTATATATCGATCATCAGCTTATTGATTGATGGCTACTAGATGCAGGATACTGAAGCTGTTAGTGAGAAATCGTGACCAGTGGATTCCAACATGTCAAAGTCAATTGGATGAGCATTCAAGGGATTGGTGCGAGGGTAGCGCTGTATCACGAGTTGACAAAATTGGAATTCATAGGCTATTGAACTGTGTCCCGAGTGACTGAATGTCCAACGAACTTGGTCTCGTAACCTAAAGGTTCTGGGTTTGCCCCCCCCCCTGGTGTGGTCGTCGGTGGATGGTGGTGCTGAACAGTCCCAAAATAGGATGAAACAAGCTGTTTAACGCTCCGTGATTTCCAATGATCACTCTAACTCATATAAGTTCTTGACGAAATCTAACATTCTTCAATAGTTGGTTCGTAAGGATTAGATTTGTTTTTTTACAGGTTGATCACGGAGTGATATCAGATAGAGAACCATTGAAAATCAGGGAGTACTGGACAGCTGTTTCATCCTAGTTTGGGAATCATCGGCAGAATGCACACACTGCGGTTCGAACACAGACCTTCCGGTTACAAAGCGAACTCGTATACCATTCAGCCACTTGGATCCAATTCAATGACCAGTCCATGAATTCTAACTTCTACTAATTCGTGAGTTAGCGCGACTAGTGAGGTCTATCCAGTCAAGTGTGAGGATGGATGACATTGGTTGGTGGTCGCGCTAAATCACGAATTAGTAAAAGTTAGAATTCATGGGCTAGTCATTAAATCGAGTTCCAGTGGTTTGGGAACTTTTCTTGTAACTGGAAAGTCCTGGGTTCGAACCCTGGCGGTGGGTGTGTACCGCCGATGATTCCCAAACAGGATGAAATAACTGTGCAGCACACTTTGGTTTTCAGTGGTTCTCTTACTGATATGAATCCGTGTTCAAACCGTAGAAACCTAATGTGATATATATATATATATATTCACGAATGTTGTGATGTGGAGTCGTGAGAAGTTATTGTGGGCCACAATTAGCTGATTGTTTCAGCTATTGGACTGAAAATAATGTTTCTATTTAATCAGTTACTTTAATTTAGTTGATGTTAAGTTATACTCGCATAAAATCGTAAGTAGTATGTTGCTACTCTGATTGTTTAAATGACCTTACAGGTCTTTTGTTTTGTTTTTTAATCACATGGTATGACTGTAACGATTTTACTCAGTGACTGCTCTATTTACTCGCAGTTTTCGTGAGTTTACTTTAATGTGTTATCTGATGTTGTGTTGTGTGTGTGTGTGTGTAGGTGTAGCTTACACTTTATCACCTTGATTTTTCACGCATCGTAGTGTATATACCTAAGCATTCAGACATATCGACCTTGACTTTGTTCAGTTCTTCTTTGTACTTCTCTGAACTATTTTTTTCACATAACGTTTATGATCATTCAATTTGTTTCATATAAGTAGTAGTAGCAGGGTAATCAATAATCACATGATTTCCGATGACTAATGTGGTCACATGATTTATAAGGTTGATAGATGTAGACAATTTAATTAGTCACTATTATGATCTAGACTGATTTGACTAAATAATTAAGCAAAGAATATTCTTTCCTGTAATTTCCTTATCAGGTGTCTACAAGTAGTATACACAATTGTTAAAGAATAAATAAAACCAACAACACAGATGTTTTAAAAAAGAATATTATTGATTTATTAAACTCTATAAATAACAGTTTAAAAGCAGAAAATTAATGGATAGAATACTAGTGGTGTGTGATACAGACAGTGTGTTCCAACGGAATGTTATGCTCACATATTCTCACAGTTCAATACTGCATTAGCAACGGAATACCATGTGCATTTTATTTGAACATTTTATTTCATGTGGTTTAGTGTAAACCAATATCACACTCAGTGATTGGCTAAAGAATATAAACCGTATAGATATAAATAGCGGTTTGATCGACTGGAAATATGCGTTTCGCTTCAATGTCTTGCCTCATGTTGTTACATTTAATGTTGCAGCCTGCCGACAAATGAAAAGTATATGTCCTGCAGTTTTTGAAGAAGGAGACATATTGATCTTCTTGAAGGACTTCGAGGCTATCGCGGAGTTGATTGGCGTAAGCCAAGAGGCTTTTATTTGAAACACTGTTGAGAGTTGTCGGGCGAAGACAGCATATGAGGCGAATACACTCCAGGGTCACGCAAACTACTTCCAAAGTTGGAAGGACTATACACGGTGACTGCATGGCGGAGTCACGTGTATATGATCAGAAATGCAAACAAAGAGGAGCAGGTGAACGTCAGCGAGCTTCAAAACTGGATACACCAAGACAAGCAAACAAGGACGCAAGCACCAAAAAGACTTCAGTCGAAAGCATTTGACGGAGAGACAGGTGTGGTGGTGTAATACAGGTGATGTTCCAACAGAATATTATTCTCACATATTCCTACAGTACAATAGCAACAATATACTATGTGTGTATTGGAACATTCTATTTCATGTCGTTTAGTGCAAGGCAAAGTCACACGCGGTTTGTGATATGTATCCACATATATATATTTATGTGTGTGTGTGTGTATGTTGGTCTCTCTTTCTGTTTGCTCGCTTAGTCTGTGACCATTTTCACTTGTATGAACTTGTCTCCTTTAATAATGTGTATTCTCCTTATATTATATTATATATAATATGAGTGTTTGTTGACAGTCCGTAGCTTAGTGACATATATCCATATATGGTTGTTGTTGACATGTTTGCTATATATTTTGCTATATATATATTTCGTTCACACAATTTGTGTGAACTACTTTACTTTACTTACTTATCACTTTGGTGTGATACCATTCATTTTCGTCTCCTTGTTTTGGACAATAGAAGTATCATCACAAACCTAGTGGTCTTCTGATTTCCGTCTTCTTGCGTCAGGACTATTAAATTCTCGACCAGCCCATAACAATAATTTAGCGACGAGTACATAACAGTTTGATCAATGGAAAATATGCTTTGACTTCCGTGTCTCTTGCCTTCTGCTGTTACAGATGTACTTCAAATGTGCTGTAAGGATGAATGCTAAAGTTGAATTATGTTGTTTATCCTAGCCACTATTGTAACAATCACTGAGCATGTGATTTTGGTTAAAATTAAACTACATGTAATAGAATGTTCAAATATATGTACATAGTATTCCGTTGTTAATGCAGTATTGAACTGTGAGAATATGTGAGAATAGTAATCATTGGACACCCATTGTCCTCATCATACCACCACAATAAGAATGAGGGGAATAATTTTTTCCCGTTATACGTATATCTGTAGACGTATGCAAACAGACTTTAGACACTGATCTTGATGAATGTGTTAAACAATAAATGATATAAATATTGTCACTTCTATGAATATCCTTTTAAGGTATAATTTTTATTCTTACAGGTCATGGATGCTACTTTTTCTCGAGATTCAAGGTGGGTAGCTGTGAGTAGCAATCATGGAACAACGCATGTTTTCCCGATAACTGCCTATGGTGGTCCAATCACTGTTCGTACGCATACTCGACCTCATGTAGTAAATCGTACTTCAAGATATCATCGGTCATCTGGTTTAGAAGAGCATCATCTAACTAGACCACAACCTGCAAGGAATGCAAGCGAGTCAACTGTATTCGGCAATAATCCTTCGAATAAATCCACTAATATTTCATATCATATTCCTCAGACGAGTTCTCTGAAACATACTTATGCTTCTCATGTGGAATCGTTTGATTTAACTTCAGACATGTCTAATACAACTTCAAGCTTTTGTCAAACAGCGCCTATAGCAGGTTTTGCACCTCAATGTCCTCATTTAGGATTTACATCTGTAACAACTCCACTCAGTGAAAATACTTTAAGTCGTATCGGTGAGTTTTGTGTACAGTTTCGTCTCATTTATATATTCATTTGTGAAGAAACAGTTAATTGTTTAGTTACCTCAGGACTTAGTGTGCTTTCGGATATTGTCATGGTGTTGTGGAAATTCTAATGTTGAATTATTGATTTTCAAACTGTAGGCATTGTCTTTCTAGATGTTGCTAAATCAATAGAATCAAGGATTTCTAAAGAAATATTTTAAGCACTTGGAGTTTTATGATTCCCTTGGGTTCTGAGTGGAACATAAGGCTTCAGCAACACACCTCCGCTTTGTTATATTCTCTACTGTCCTCTTCAGCTGTGTCCACGATTGACCATAGTCTCGTATCTCCTTCTGTCACGATCTTCTCCATGTCACCCTTGTCGTTTTTTGTGCTTGTTCAAATCTACATATATATTTATGCGACACGAATTCATGTATTAAATAAGCGTGTCTTCTCAACGGCTCATTTAAAGGAATATATGCTATCCCCTTCAAGCTTATTGCCAAATGAATCCGATGATCCAGTGTATTCTAAGACACTTTAGCTCATATTGCAGTGTACAGACTATAATCTATGGGAAAGCACAACATCGTCAATAGCTTAGAATGTGTGATCAGGGAACATTCTCGATGACTTATAGTATGCGGATTATATTGTCTTCCTAAGTGAATACACTGACAAAATACAGTGCCTGCTGAATACCCCGGCCATGCAGTTCGTTTGTATCAAGTGTTAAATGATGCTGCAAAACTTATCTGTACCAACTCCTAATTTAAAACACAAGGAGTGAAATGGTAGAATATGTTGACCACTTCACTTCACTGTGATGTTGCATCAGATGACGAAACCTGAACACGTATATAAATCGCTCATATAGCATTTGCAAACCCACATCATCTCTGGCGTAGATATGATATCCAGTAGCTGCGCAGCTGTTAATTGTGTTCTGCTTTATGTTCGTGAAATATGGCCATTAAAAGTAGAAGATATGAAAAGACTAGCTGTTTTTGATCACAGGTGTCTGCATTCTATCTCCTGTGTTTAGTATAATATGGTAAGTAATATTAAGATTAGGAGGCTTCCGAGAAATTGTGAAGTTACATCGAATGAGGTGCCGAGGAACACGTGTTGTGCATACGAAGCCATCATCTTCCTCCACGGGAAATATTAACCAACAATGGATTAGGTTGAAAAAAGGTGAGAGACGGTCTAATCAAAATCTGGAATCAGTATAAAGTCTTGGACAGTTGGTTTGAGCCTCGTAAGGGACTATAGGCTGTCTGGTCTGGATCTTCATGATGCTAAGATCCAATAACTAGAAACTGTTAGAGATATATGGCTGAAAATCGTTCTCAATGATGCAAATACATTCACCATTTGTGATTTTCCATTAAACACTTACGTTTCTCCATGTTATTATTCGTTCTCTTCCGTCTCTGGCGTAGACGTGATATCCGGCTATTGACCAAAGGGCGGGTATACTGCTCATCAGTCCGATCCGTCCTCCTCTATGGCTAATTGTGAGACCTGGCCACTGAGAGTGGAAGACATGAAAAGATTAACTGTCCTTGATCATAGGTACCTGCGTTCTATCTCCCGTTTGAAGTGGCATAATAAGGTGAGCAATATTGAGGTTAGACGTCGAGTGCTCCGTAAGGAGGGGTAATCAATCGACGAGGTTGTGAAGTTACATCGACTGAGATGGTTAGGACATGTGTTACATATGCCTAGTCATCGCCTCGCTCGACAACAGGAAATGTTAGCTCATATAGGGTAAGGTTGGAAAAGAGTTGGCTAGTGGTGTCAAACTAAAAAAATATGGCTTCATCAGTCAATGAAATCTGCAACAGTTAGTCTAAGCCACGTAGGAAGGTGTAGATTCCCTGGTTGGGGTCCTCGGGACTGTAAAAACCAATGGTTGGAAACAATTGGTGATATGGCTCAAAGTGATCGTTCTCAATGACAACGCAGATGCATCCACCCCTTGTGACTTATGATTTCCAATGAAACTGTTTTGTTCTTCGTTATTACTCTCTCTCTTTGTCTCACACCTCTGTTTACTGTCTCTATTATGCATTTCTTGTGTTGCTTTTTGTGCTACAAGGGGTGGAGTGTGGCGACTTGAACTGGTGCAGATATGTGCAAAGTTCTATGTCGAAAACAGACAGACAGATTCGTTCTCATTCAGATTTATTCTTATTGTAGTACCTTTGAGTCCCTTTTCTGTCTTCTTTTGTGTGCTTTATGGAATATGGCAACCTAGAATGCTACCCTTGTGTGCCAGGTTATACGTTGGAACTCAATGAGTCGGAATTTTACTGAGTACTTAATACTCATTCTTCACATTCATGCGTCCCCAATTATTACTAATAATTGAATAAATCGATTTTGTGGCTGATTGAATTAGGTGTTTAACTGCGAATCAATGGTTCGTGGCTTCGAACATCCCTCAAAACAGACAGATTGTGTCATTTGTCCTCATGTAACGGATGTCACCTTATAGTCTAGGATGATACTGTTTGACTTGTAGGCGGTTTCTGAGTGATAAAGAGTATATAATCTTGTGGTTACACTTAGTGAACCGATTACATGAAGAAGTAACATTCATGGATTCATATGATGCACTAATTGCTCACACGATCGATGGTAACCAATTACAGCTCAACAAGTCCTGATCCACGGTCATTAATCAGATTCACAAAAAGTAACTATTTTGCTAAGAGGGGGGCTTATTTAGTAATTATGCAGATAATTACTAAGAGGAGCATATTTAATTGCCTCTACTTTTGTTTAGACGCATGATTTAATAAGCATTTTTCACTGTATTATCTGGAGGTTCAGTTTGCGACTAACTTTATGGTGAATAAATTCCAAGCATCACGTGACCAATTGTGCTTCTTTCTTTTTGTTAATATGTTTTCTACCCACTTAGAATAAAAAATGTAATACTTGTTTATCTTATCTTCATGTTTGTATGTGAACAGTTTTTAAATAAGTTTTTGATACCAAATGGCAAAAAAAGTCATTATGCTAACATTTTCATGATCTCGTTTCAAGTATACTTTAAGCCGAATATAAACTCTGGTGTTAGATTGTTATCATTTTTTATACTTATAACTATTTTAATAAATGTCTTCTATGCAGAATCTGTAGCAGCACATTTATGATACGCGTTGGCCGCTTCATTTATTGGGGAAGTACCAACGCGTTGATCTCTGACGAAATCTCAGCACGGATATACAGGGCTAGTTTCGCAAATACCAGTTTACGCCGTCTCTGGCGTAGACGTGATATCCAGATTTCTATCAAAGGGCGGCTGTACTGCTCAGGAGTCCGCGCCGTCCTCCTCTACAGCTGTGAGACCTGACCATTGAGAGGTGAATACATGAAAAGATTAATTGTCTTTGATCATAGGTGCCTGCGCTCTATCTCCCGTGTGAGGTGGTATAATAAGGTGAGCGATATTGAGGTTAGACGTCGAGTGCTACGTAAGGAGGGGAAATCGACGAGGCTGTGAAATCGCATCGACTGAGATGGTAAGGATATATGTTACTCATTCCTGCCTACTCATCGCCTTCCTCGACGGGCAATGTTAGCGGAAATAAGGTCCAGCTGGAAAGAGCTAGTGGCGGTCAAACCAAAACATGGCCTCATCTGTCAATGAAATCCACAACAGTAACATTAAACCACGTAGGGAGGTGTAGACTTCCTGTCTGGTTGAGGTCCTCGGAACGGTAAAAATCATTGGCTGGAGACAATTGCCGATATGTCTCAAAAACGTTCTCAATGGCTAGTGCAGATGCATCCACTCCTTGTGACTTATGATTTCCAATGAAACTGTTTTGTTCTTCGTTATTACTATTCCTTTGTCTCACACCTCTGTTTACTTTCTCTATTATGCATTTGTTGTACTTTCTTCTGTTGCTTTTTGTGCTACAAGGGGTGGAGTATGGAGACTTGAACTGGTGCAGATATGTGCAAAGTTCTATGTCGAAAACAGAGAGACAGACATTATTAATTTCCCATTTGTATGCCATCGGCATCTATCACTTTCATAACTATGCGTTATCAATAACTAATCACCACAACAACAAGAGTAATCGAAATTTATTTGTCCTTAAAGTGAACGTATCATTTTTCTTGTTATTGGTGATATTGTTGTCTTATTATGCATACTCCATCTTTTAATGAATGTTGCTTTAATTTATTCCTAGGTGAACATTCAAATCCATCGTCTGTAATTGACAGTAATCCTAGTCTATGTGATAAATCGATCGCACAATCATCCATAACGTCTTCAAAGCCGCTTCCTCCAGAAGCTTCTGCTAGTCACCTTCATGTTCCTGGTTCTGCAAGTTTCATTTCTGAACCACCAAACATGTTACTTGCAAGTAGCGAGGGATTATGTGCTTGTCCACCAAACGCATTATATAACAGTACAAATTCTCGACTACCGCCTTATCCAGAACCCTGCCGTGTTAAAGCTGAAGCTAGGCTGAAACCATCCAGTGGGAATACAATGACTTCTGTTGCTCTTGGTTGCGCTGGCAGTGCTTTAGAAGCTGTTACTCCATTAACAGGTACCACTAATACACCATTGATCAACCGCAATACATCACCTGTGAAACCATGTTGTTGCAGCCCTAATAGTGTCCACTGTACTGGAATGTGCGCACACCCACAATCGCCAATTGCAGTATCAGTAGCAAATCGTTCAGTTTTGCACTCACGAAAACAACATCGACGTCAAAGAAATTGTCAGTCACTTCAAAGTGCAGATCAAGATATGTCTAGTCCAACCAATAGTTGTGTAAGAGCTGCTCGTTTCGGACCACCTGTTTGTTTCCTTCCTAACCAATTTCGACTGAATAACTTGTCATCAAATTATCGCACTGATCCATATGGTAAGACATAAAAAGTTAAATATTTAACTTCTAATTTGTTTTAAGTAACACACGTGTTCGATCAATTGAATAAATATTAATCCTGTTATTAATCAAGTGATTTGAAAAAATGTAGCTTTTCTGAAAGAACCAATTAAATTTAAGCAAAGCACTCAGAGTCTCTCAACTGTTTGATAAATTATACAGTGTTATGTATTCTATAAACGTAGTTTATTAATTATCGAATTGAATTTGAGATTTTCCCGTCGATTGATTGGACCAAAGTGCTCGGTTTCAGGTTGACATGTCGGCTTCTTGTGCAGATGCACAAGAGGTGGCTCTCATGGCCCAAGTGGTCTAGTGGATAACGCTTTGGCGTTTGAAACTATGGGCGCTGGGTTCGGGCCTCGGTGGGAACATCATCACTCAGTGAGAAATTCAGGTACATTCAGCTGACGAGTCCCAAATAGGACGAAATGCGCATTCTGGATTCCACTGCTAGCCACCATTCACTAATTGTAGTTTATTACTCATAAGTAAAAATTATATTTGTAAAATCTCAGTGAAATTGAAATGAGTAATTCCAAAGTTTCGTTCAGCTATCTGGTTCAAACTTCATCAGGGAAACTAATCGAGATTAAAATACCAAAGCTTTATATATGCATAAAAAGGATATCGCTTCTTTTTAAAACCTTTGTTTAATCATATGGGTCCTGAAATAGGCACAAAAATATGATAAACAAACGAAATTGCATGAGTTGTCATCAAAATTTGACCTCAGACTTACAAATATTAGTCAACACATTTGTTAAACACTGTAAACAGTTGTGGTGGTGTGATGATACACACCAATGTGTACCAACGGAATATTATTGTCACTGTAACAAGCATTGTATTTGTTAGTGTTAACGTCAGAATTCTATTCCCACAGTCAATACGACATTAGCAACAGAATACTATGTGTGTGTATATTTGAACATTCTATTTCATGTGGTTTAATGTAAATCAAAATCACATGCTCAGTGATTGGTTTAAAGAATATAAACAGTATAGATATAAATAGCAGTTCGATCGCTTGAAAATATACCTTGACTTCCATGATTTGCGCCTTCTGTTGTTACAATGTTACTTCCGTTACTTAAACTTGAATCACTCGGTTCAGTAACGAAGATAGAGATGCTATTGTGGTGAGAGCTGTCTGCAAGACGAAATCGTCGACATCAATTTACGTCAATGTTTACGTCCCAAATCGGAGACATGAGATAAAACAAGAACAGAACCTAACTTTGAGGAACTCAACAAACAATCACAGCAGACATAGCGTGTGCTAATAAGATTCACAGATATATGGCTTAACTTTCTATAAAACGGTCACAAGCAGTAAAGAATGACCTTCAGCCAGAAAACAGCCAATCAGGAGACATCGATGTAGGAACAAAACTTGTGCACTATAGTAGAGTATAATTCCATTATGGGTAAAATTTGTTTTTGATAAAGTCTCACAGTGATATTTACTGATGACCACGTTTCGAGCACAGTTTATTGCTCATAATCATATCAATGTGATTATGAGCAATAATGGATTTATCAGAAGACGTTGCTTCTCTACTAACAATAACGCTAGTAATAATGTACATAAAAATCTATAAATATCTCTTCATTTTCTCAATAAACGATCTGTCGCCTGGCCCTTGTCTTCTGTCGTTACACTATCATCAATGTGAAGAAAAAAAATTTGAAACCAAGGTGACGTATCATTCTGTATTTATATGAGTTTTTCAATGAACGAAATATTCCCATATTGTGAGTCATAAGAAAAAAGCACAAACAGCGAAGAAAATTTTCTTTTCGACGATTCAATTTCATTATTATTCCCATCATCCACATTTCAATTACCACTCTATTACTGTTTACAAATAACATTGCTTTTTCATACAGATTTTATACAAAAGACCTTAATAGGCTTTCTACTAGTTCTTGTCCATTCTACACAAGCTTATTGATTAGTCATTATCTCACACCTGTTAAGATCTGCCAACTTCGCTCTCCTTTCTAACTTACACTTACTCATTCCTTCTTACACCTTACATTGTGTAATGCAATTTTTCAAGGACAAAATTTACCAGTATCTGATTGGTCTAAAGATTTCTGTGTTGATTATAATTACGACTGTACATCTCATGATAATGAATCGTCGAAAAGAAAATTTTCCTCGCTGTTTGTGCCTTTTTTTATATGAGTTTGTTTAATATGCAGTACAGTGACACAGAGTTATTAACTGGATTTATCCCTCATAATTATAACAACATTGACACTAAATTATTCCAATCCCCCGACTGACCCAGTATAGATAGAATTAGGTTTGAAAATTGGTTATTAGATAGCAGTCAGACTAACTGTCTAATTCGACACCCGACAAAATTCTTCTACGAATCAGTTTTACAAGTTGATCTAGGGAGAAACAGTGCATCACTTATTGTCATCTCCCGACCGAAAGCTGCTACCTTGACGTGGTGGTCGGGCTTGAACACCGCAATGACCTAATCAAGCTATATTGGCTGAGACTTATGTCTCTTGAGGTCCTACCATGCCAGGCAGGTTGTTTGGATAGCGGTTAAACAAAAAGCAGCTACCCAATCCAACATCATGATAAATACAAAATCACAAAATTTCATGCCGGATCGGCCGTGGCCCGGATTAACAACGACCGCGCTTCCTGCTGCCGTGTCACAGGGCAGGAGTGATAAGTATGCTACTGAGGCACACCAAACAAAAGAGAACAAACAAAAACAGGCCGCGTGTGACCGGCCTCAAGCAGTTGTCCCCTGGGCTCTGCGGTCACGCAACCAACTTCCACGGTGTGGGCAGCCGGGAAGTAACAATCGCCCTCACAATCCGAAATGCACACGAAACCTCTCTGATACTCACTCATCTTTGTCTTCATCTTCATCTCTATCATCTTGCCTTCCTTCCACTGATGCAACTCCTCGACTTGATAGCTCCTCACTTCCTCTCCACTCTGCGTCCACTAAAAACGATGGAAGCCAAAAAACCACCACCGACAGCCTCTTAAAGCCGCGCCACCAATTTCATATAGGAGCATTTAATGTTAGGACACTTTGCCAAATAGGACAACAAGCATCACTAGCCAAGACCCTGGCATCCCGAGCCATTGATGTATGCTGTGTTTCAGAAACACGCATACAAGACCCAAGTGTGGTTATTCACCTAACCCCACCTGGCCAACAGGTTGAATCTGCAAAATTCACCTTGAGGGTGTCAGGAGATGCCACAGCTAGTTCACGAGGATTAGCTGGCGTAGGGATAGCTTTGAGTACTAGGGCAGAAAAGACATTGCTTGACTGGATCCCGGTAGATAGCCGAATGTGTGCTGTCCGTCTGAACGGATCAGTAAGAAGGAGAAAGGACTGCACTACTCGCCGATGCCTTTTCGTAATCTCCGCCTACGCCCCCACTGACTGCAGTTCAGATGAAACGAAGGATGAGTTCTACCAAAAGCTGTCTAGTTTGGTGAAAGGCTAAACGCTCAGACATAGTCGTTCTAGCTGGTGACTTTAATGCTCAAGTAGGGAAATTGTGTCAATCTGAGAAGGATGTCGGTGGCACCTATGGAGTCCGTGCCAGCGAACCGACAACGGTGACCGTCTCCTACAGTTCTGTTCTGATAATCATTTGTTTCTTGTAAGCACTAACTTTAAACACAAGGAGAGACACTGTTTGACTTGGAGACCCCCTTCATCAAACCAACGCTGGACACAAATAGACCACATAGCAATAAGCTATCGTTGGCGTGGGTCGGTAGGAGATTGTCGCTCCTTCTGGAACACGTGTGTAGATACCGACCACGCACTGGTCCGCGCTCGTGTGTGCTTACGACTGAACGGACGTAGGAAACAGCTGGCGGTAAAACCATCACGTCCCCAGCTCGATCAGGAAACTAAATCCGTATTTGAGGAAGAACTAGCTAAACACATATCTGTGTTCGACAGCTGTGCTCACCCTGAAGAAGCTTGGAAAAATATCCAGGCAGCCATAGATACAGCTGTAAAAGCTGTGAATAAGGTAAACCCAAAGGTGAGTAAAAACCACTGGATCTCCACCGCCTCATCCGAACTGATAGATGCTAGAAGACTTATTCCGGCGAGCTCCGAATTCAATGAGGAGCGAAAGCTGCACAAGAGGAAACTTACGAAAAGTCTCCGCAAGGACCGTGAACAGTGGTGGGTGACAAAAGCCAAAGAGATGGAGAAAGCTTCGAGGATAGGCAACACCAGGCAACTCTTTATACTCATCAGGGAAACGGGTGGGAGAAGACAAATCATAGTGAAAGAATCACAGAGAAAATGGCACTATAATTAGCTCCCAGGATAGACGACTGGATCGTTGGAAAGAGCATTATGAGGAGCAGTTTAATTGGCCCACAGCCACGCTCAACCTTCCGAACATCCAACACCTCCCTGAATGGGATATAGACACAGGTCCTCCATCCCTAACTGAGGTTACTAAAGCTGTCACCAATCTGAAACTAGGCAAAGCAGCGGGACCTGATGGAATGACTCCAGAGGTATTTAAGTACGGTGGAGACAGTTTACTGTCTGCATTAACTGAGGTACTAGGCAGCGTCTGGGAATCAGAAGAAGTCCCATTGGGTTGGTGTAAGTCACTGATTATCCCCATATACAAGAAGGGAGACAAGTCTTCCTGTGATAATCACAGAGGGATTAGCTTGACTAATATAGTATCTAAAGTTCTAGGCTCAATAATCATGCGTAGACTGAGTGGTGCTCGGGAGGCACAAACACGAGAGAGCCAGGCAGGCTTTAGACCAGGAAGAGGGTGTATTGATCATATCTTCACCCTCCGACAGATTCTAGAACATAGTCATTCCTACCGGCGTCCAACAATCATTATATTTCTTGACCTAAAGGTGGAATTCGATTCTGTTGATCGAGAGGTTCTCTGAGGATGCTTGGCTGTAAAGGAAATGCCGAGAAAATACA